CTGTGTGTATACTTGTATATTTCTTTTTCATTTCCTTCCTTCTTTTCTCTTTTTCCCCATCCCAGTTGTTCCTTTCCTTTGAACAGTTTCTTTCCCTTTCACATTGTCTGTTATACTTTTAAGATTTTATTTACTGTTTCAGGTTCTTATGCTGGCAAGACAATACAATGTTTATACATGTGAGTCTTATTTATTTCACTTACAAGTATTGTCTTTAGTTGCATCCATTTACCTTTAAAAACCTTGAGTTTATCTTTCCTACAGCTGAGTAATACTCCATTGTACAAAAATACCACATTTTTCTTTCCATTCCTCTCAACGAGTACTAATTTATATTTCTACCAATTGTCCTTTCTCTACCTTTTCACCAGCATTTGTTATTGGGTTTTTTTTTTATGTTAGCCATTGTAATTGGTATGAGATAATAGTATGATTTTGTCCTTTGCATTTCTCTGACTAGCAAGATTTCTTTTTATTTACCTATTGGTTGTTTATATGTCTTCTTTTAACAAATGTCTACTTTAGTTTTTTGTATGCTAGAATTATTTTTCTTTCTTAGGGTAAACAACTACCTTCTGATTTACAGTGTTATTGAGAAATCTGAAGTAATTGAGTCTATGAGCCTTTGTATAAGACTATACCTCTATCCCTAAAACTTATTACTGGGACTGGGATAAAGTTTCCAAAGCCTCAGCAATGCATTTACTCTTCTGTCATGGATGTGTGACTTTACCCATGGATAATTTCCAACTTGGGAATCTCACCTAATTATCAATATCCATATCCATAGTTTTGATCTGGGCTTCATTATATAGGTATGATTGATTGAATCATTAACACATGGTTTCCTAAAGTCCCAATCCTTTAATTATGTGGTTGGTTTTCTGTCTGGCCAGCCCTCATCCTGAGTCACCTCATTAACATAAACTATCAGGTGTGATTTGAGGAGCCCCTCATGAGCAACAAGGATATGCCTATCATTCAGAAAATGCCCAGGGTTTCTAGGTTACCTCCCAAGAGCTAGGACAAAGACCAGGCTTCTTTTGGAGTACAGCTAATTCACACACACACACACACACACACACACACACACACACCACCTTGACTTGCAAAGGTGTCTGCTTCAATCAATTCCAGAGTACCTTTATGAGGGAATGGGGATATAGTTCAGTGGCACAGCACCTGCCCGGCAAACAGTAGATCATGAGTTCAGTTCCTGGTACAAAACAACTTACCGGATTTTGAAGTAAAAATAAGGTTGGTTCTTTGCTTTATACATTGCTGGATTAGGATTTGGCTTTTTCAATTTAGGTAAGTCACTTACCATGTGTTTGTCTAATTTGAACTTACTCCTCCCATTTTTCAGTGTTCATACTTACTAGAAAAGCCTTTCAGTAGTGTTAGTGGGTTTTGAGAGGGGAGAAAACTTAGATATGTGTATTTAATTGGCGCTTTTAAACCCAGAAATTGCTCATCACTCTCTCAATTTATTTGCTGTAAGAGAAAATAATTTTCTGTCATTATTTTTATAGAATGGCTATTAACATCTGGGAAATATACAGTGAAATAGCAAATATATCAATGTTGCTGCAATACCAGAACTAATTAATTTAGACTTCACAGTCATTAAAGATGACTCTTTAAAGGGTTTGTTTCTACTGTACATATTAAGGTCATAAAAAGTAAAAATAATCTCTTATTACTTGTTGACTGGGATTAAAATATAGAAATAGAAAGCCATACTTTTTTCTTTAATGCCATCTATTTTTACAATGTTTAAATTAGTAAATAATAATGTAAACTTATTTTTAAAAGTAATTTTGAAGTACAGTAGTGAAAACATTACATAAAGTGATCCTTAAAATTTTCCACTTTGATGACAGGAGTTCTGAGTAGGGATAAAGAGAACTAAAATTGGAGAATTCTTTTTATATTTAATGAATTGTCTAAGACAGAACATAGAACTCCTTTAACCACTCTGATATAAAATTCAGACTCATTTCTCTATCTCTCTCTTATATATCTCTCTCACTATATGTATCTCTGTCACGTGTACATCTAGCAGAGTTTTTAAGGTTATATTTTACGTTAATTATGTCTTTGCCTGGAAAAGCGATGTTGCAATTCTCAATTCTTAGTTCTTATTTCATTTTATATATAAAAAGGGGGCATGTCCTGACAATTCTCTGTCATTCTAGGGTAAACTTTAATCTGATTTCTTTCATAAACAATCTTTTAGAGTTTCTGCTCTCAGGGGTATTCATTCCAACCTCTATGCACAACCTTTAGAGCTCATATGGCGGCGACTTTCCTATATAGCCTTATCTGTTCTCAGCAACATTCAAGTTCCAGTTCTTTCAGGACTACCTTCCCAGATTTTATGATGTTAAAGTAGTTTTGTTCCTACAGTAACCCCTCATCAACCAATGGCTATCTGCTTGCCTAAGTTATTTGAACCATTTTTACAAGCATACCTTAAATGTTATTTTCTCAAATAAATGTTCCCACTTATCTTTCTTTCCTCATGTTTAAAGACACTACACTGGGGCTTCATCGGGCTTTATTTTGCTTTCTATGTATTTGATTATGGTAGATATGGTTTGTGTGTGTGTGTGTGTATGTGTGTGTGTGTACATGTGCATACACATATGTATGAAGCAGGGAAGAAAGAGGGGAGAGTGTATTAAATTTTAATTTTCTTGATGGTAAATATTATAGATACATAAAATGCCCTATATATAGTTGTTTCTCAATATTGTGAGTTACTCAGGAATGGATCTTATTTCATTTTCTTTGTGTTATTAACTGAAAAAAATAATTATATAGATTACTTATTAGTATTTTATAATTCAGTCATTTTCAACATTTTCTCGAACCATAGAAATGTGGATGACTAATGTGTGAAGATGATTTTTCACAACTTCCATTGAGGATGGGAGAGCTGAGTGTGTGTTAGTGTTCTCTGCATTCAGGTCCACACATTGATGACACGACTGCCACTGAGGCCGACTGTTCAAAGTGGCCAGGTAAATCTTTGTGACACGTGCTGAATTCTGTAGTGAAAGAAAGGAAACACGAGGTGGGGGCATGATGACGACCCCAGTCATTCTAGGTATCTCTGCCATAGGAGCGAGTCTGAATATCCTAGAAAGGGGATGGGAAGAGTTTCTGAGGAAGAAAGATTTTTATGAAGTTTGGTATGGCTGACCGAAGAAGTTTGGGAAAGAGAGCTAGTGGGTGACTGAAGGGAGAACCTGGAAAGTAGGCCTGATCTAGAAAGTGACTGACAGTGTAGTAGCTATCTGCCCAAGGCAAAGCTGTACACAAAGGAAATAAGAAGCGGGAGGGAAGGAGGGAGGGAGGGAGGGAGGGAGGGAGAGAGAGAGAGAGAGAGAGAGAGAGAGAGAGAGA